GAGAGAGGGAGAGAGGGAGAGAGAGGAGAGGCGAACAGGAATCACTCTGAGTCACTCTGAGAGGCTGACAAAGTCTGCCAGCCGTTTTGGTGGCAGATGCATGGTTAGGACGGTTAGGATGAAACGAGGACACCGAAGCTTGCCCCCGCCGTGCACATGACTTTCTTTCTGCATTCCCTCTACCACGTCGATTTCCATTATCGCAGCGTGTCCTTCTCCACACCTTCCAAGATGCCTTTGCGTGTCGCTGCCAAGTCCTGCACTTCTCGGCTTGTGAAGTCTGCACTCAAATGTGCTTGATGGTGGATTGGCTCCTGATATTCCTTCAAAGAATTGCGGGTCTTCTCAAGCCTCAGGATTGGGCATGCTGACGGTAAGGTCATTGCATGCAGCAGCGAAACTGAGTCCGGCGCTCGTGCTGCAAGTCGCTCACCCTCAGTTTTTCATCCTCGGTTCGCAGGGCAGGGGAAGCAAGGAACAAGAGTGAGAGCGGACAGAGAAGACAGAAAGGTCGATAATTTATGGACGATAGTGAGCAAAAGCGAAAGAGAGAGAACGAACTGAGCCCAACAGAAGCGGACTTACAAGACTGAGAAACCGGGAAAGGGAAACAGTAATCACCTTGAAGCAGAGGAAAGACGGGGCAAAGAGGCATTGCAAAACATCCCATGCACGTCTGCAAACTCCACGCCAACATTGAGGCAACTGCGCCGAGCTCGTGCGTGGTCATGACTAAGTTGGACCTGAAACTTACAAGCAGAGCCCGGAGGTAACTTTTGTGATTCTGCTACGCTACGGCAACGTGGCTGAGGTGGACGCGAGGAGTCCACTAGCAGCTCTCGGACTTTCTTCGCCTGTTGTCAACAACGAGAGGTCTTGGGCAGGAGTAGACTGACCAGGGGCCATAATGTCACATCTCACAACCAACAGCACTCCTCCGCTTCAGCTTCTCGCGCTCGCTTGCCTTCCATAATGCCCTTCTTGTCGAGACTCCTGCGTACCACAGGCAGTACTCTCGTCCCGGGGGCATAGCTAAGATCTGAGAGCGCGACTTGTTTTCCTTGAAGAGAGAGTTCTTCTCGTCCACAACACCCTCGATCCTGACACCATGGCAGAGCAAACAGTGTTGAGAACACTGTTGCGTTGCACTGCCTGCACCTGTTAAGCTCAGGGCCGGGCTCCGATTGTGCCTTCGCCAAGTCCTGCTTGAGGATGGAATTCCACTTCTTCTCCTCCTTAGCGCTTTGGCGCTCGTTCGTTTTTTCCCATCCGCATGCCGGTCATGTGCTGCACAACAAGAACCTGACAGCAATCTGCGCCGTCAGGACCTCCAGCTTTCAACTAAGCGATGGAACACGTACTCGTAAGCATAGAAGGGGCTGGCAAGCATCGTAATTTGCTAAATCTGCTTACTCAGCGATTTATTACTGATCTGAATTGTGAAGTCTTTGATGATTTGCATTTCCCCAATCACTCTTTAACGGAGAAATCAAAAAAACAGTGATCCCAAATAGTGAGACAAGACTGAGAACATAGTGAGAGGAACAATCCGAAGATAATGATGGAGCAACGAGCAAATCACCGGCATCCAACGTTTCAGCGCAGCAATCCTTTTCTTATGTGCAGTATGTTCAGTGCGTTTCCACTTTTCTCCACTATGTTTTTCACCAGTGTTCACTAAATTCATTACATTATCATGAATTTTCACGAACTCACTGGTTTTCGTCGCAGGAGAACCGGCCTCCACCTTGGCCCGTTCCTCCTTCAACTTGGCCTGGCCATCCAGGACAGGACGGGACGACTCTTTCTGGGAGCAACTGCCTCTTCTTCGCGGCATCTCTCTTCCAGAATGAGCATGGTCTCCACCTGGGACCGACGGATCGGGTTGCACAGGTGTGATGAGATCCTGGAGATGCCAAGATTGGAACGCTTTCCTGATATTTGACTTCTATCCGCTTCACATCCTCCAACAGACGAGCTGCTGTGCAAATCGCGTGTGTCAGAGACTCCCAAACACACATCTGACATGCGGCCTGCTGCAGCTGTCCGATGTCCCGGTCCAGCACTACGATTCTCCTCTCCTGAGAAAAATCAGGTATACAGCCGCTTATCCAATAACTGGTCTTTATCCGACACACGAATGCCTATGTTCAAAGGAGGAAATAGGACCGAAATGTACACCAAGCGACGGCAATGGCTTTTTTCCGGTGGACGTCTCCTTCGTTCTCCTGCCCACTCAGCATGCTGAAGCCAAAACCGGAACCAGTCATATGCTGCCAAAAGGCCTCTAATTCCTGCACGCGTGCTTTGAGCTTTTTCGCCTCAAGGTAATTGCGAGTGCAGATGGAGAAGACACGGGAGCGATATCGAGGAGATACGCTGCGATGGTGGGAGTTTTTGCAAATGCGCCAGGGCATGACATTTGAAGCAAACCAGCTTACCGGCACAGCTCAATGTTTCTCGCTGCGCGCATCTTGAGAGCTCAAGGCCTGCGGAACAGGTCTGGTAATGAGGCTTGCCCTTCATACGTGGTCTCACAGCCCTGCGGGTCTTCATCAACGCGGACGCGACTGAGACGCCATCGAGGGGCACGCAGAATCAGAGGCACCAGCCTCAGGCACTTTTATCAGGATCTCCATCGCCTCTGTGGTGCTGCCCCTCCCATAGGCTCCTGCAGTGGGAAAAAACTCACACTCCAGCTCTCCCTCCTCGATGCGATCTCGTCCGTGCGAGTGGGCCGAACTAGCAGAAGGCCTGCCTTCGCTCTACACGTTTCGGTAATTTTGATGGATGCCGGAGTCTAAAGCTCCAACATCTCCTGCGAGATCACGTTGACAAACTTTGTTCCTCCGGCGTAGCTCGTCTTACTTGTTCCCGACAGGTGTTGATCAGATAGCTTGTAATGCTCACCCACAGCGACCTTTCATGCAACGACGACCACTCCAGGCTCTGACCATCTACGGAAGTCCGTGGTTTCGCACCAGACGTATAAACCGCACGTTGGCAAGGTTGATGTCCGCAGTGCATGTGTTGGCTCGACCTGCCCGCGATATCGCTGCTTGGTCCTGTTGTTCCATCCATGCTCTCCTGGCCGTTTGTCGAACGCCCAAGGTGCGCTTCATAGTGTCTTAGGCACTAGCCGGCACCAGGCTGTTGTCGACCACATCGTCGGAAAGCACGGACATCGGCACTCCGAGAAGTAGTCCCGGAAGACTCTTTGGAGCGGCGAGAAATCACTCCGATCGAAGTACATGTTCCTCGTCCAAAGTGTTTACACGATTGCGATCTTCATCTCGTGATCGTCCATCGTTGCCTCGTCCACCACCATGGCCAACTTCTCCGTGAAGACGCAAGGGCACCTTCACATCGATGAGGTGTCGACAAGAGGATGAGATCCGCAACGGCCATTTTTAGCGCACCGTCGTGTCCCACTCGGGTACTCATCAGTCAGGCATCCTGGCCAAACACATCCGATCAAGCGCGGTAACGTGTCGCTGCCCGGCGTTCTGCGATGGCTTTCCACCCATTGCTATAACCCTCAGCACAGCTAAGGAGACAAATCGGTGTCCAGGCGATGCGACGGTGGCGCCCAGGCATCAAAACAAATCGCAAGGCTGGCGACTCGCCTTCTCGACGCCCCGCGCTGGCGCCACGCTTCGGAAGCCTGCTGAACTCCACGTTGTTGCAGGTAATCAGCCCACAGATTGAAAGGCTCCGTGGCCACAAAGCTGGAACGCAGCTCCGCTCTACCAACTGAAGCAAAGTAGCTTCAAGTCGACGGTCTGTCACATTTGATCTTTCATGCGAAAACTGACAGCGTAAGAGGCAGACGATTTCGGTTTTCTCGTGAACCTTTCTCCTTTCCTCTGCAAGGGCCTCGGAACGAGAACGGGGCATGAGAATAGGACACGAAGATGCCAAGACTTTGCAGGTGCACTGGGAGCGGCCTAGAAAGGGCTTCCGGGAGATCCAGGGTGCTCTGACTGAGCAAGCTGCCACGACGGACATTCTGGCAGTGTTCTCAAGCCCGTTCTGAGCATCCTCGAGTTCCTTCCATGCTCGTCACAACTTTTTCAGAAATGGCTTGCTTTGCTTCACTCGCGTACTTTTCATATCTCGCACTTTGATCTAGCGTCCTGATCTTTGCGCCTGGTTGTCACCAGATCCTCAAACAGCTGGGCGAATGTGTCCTGCACAAAGCACTTTAACTTCGCGAACATCTTGTCCATCTGGAAAGCTAGTACGAAACGGAACTACACTCCAGTGACTTGCTTTGGGGCTTTTTCGGATGACATGAACTGCCCACCCATCGAGGGTGTTGGTGACAGACAACACAAACTTCCGGCTTCTCAGGACAAGAAGACAGGCCTCTGACTCCTTCAGCATCTCCTGCGCCAAATCGCGGCATGCTACGCAACTCCAACATCCATGAAGTAGTCATGAAGTCACTGCACAAGCAGAGCGCGAGTCATGCCTTCACAGTTCTGAGCTCTTTCTGCAAGCCTTGACTTTCCGACAAGGAGGAGGGAGGGCGAGAGCGAGAGAGAGAGAGAGAGTGAGTGAGCAAGCGAGCGAGCGAGCGAGTGAGTGAGTGATTTGCCCGGGGCCCCCACGTCTGATCGTCATACGTTCGTTGAAGAGTTCGGACTGCGCAGCCTGGCAGCGCGTTCACACTACTAACATCTACTAAAGTTGCATGTGTTGAAACTGAGACACTGAAGCCAGATGCCGCCTTCGCGAGCTTCCTCTCCGGATTTCCGAACCTCAACAGGACTTGCAGCAACAGCGCAGAGCCCCCGGTGTCGAGGGCGCGGCTTAGCCTCCCTCTCTTTTGCCAAGGCTTGAGCCTCCTTAGACACGACATGCCCTTTCACACAGCTGGAGCCGTTCAGAACCCTAAGTGTCCTCCAAGATTTCCACTTGCCTTTTCAGCTTGTCTGCCTCGGCACTTGCCCTCTTGACATCGCTTGGGTCTCTTCGAACTTGTCTACTACCGTGCCTCTGCTTCTGCCCGATACTGCTGGCTTTTCGCAGAGCTGCACCTGGGCTTCGCAACTCATGAAATGCCAAAGGTTCCAACCACAGCAACGCAACCTTCGGGACATCGTCGAAGATAAGTGCTGGGCTCTGCATGGAATCTTCGCACCTTTCACGGATCAGCTCACAGAGTCCTTGATAGAATTTGATGCTCCAGAGACCATTCTTGGTGAGAATCTGGCCACAGCTCTAAGTAAGAGTTCCGGATCGTCAATGTCATCCGGCAGAAGATCTTCTCTCCTGGCTATCCGACTCTTTCGTGGCGAATCCTCTAGATCTGCCCCATGCTGAGCAGCCAACCCACCAGAGAACTTTTTCACATTGTACCGGACGATGTCAGCGCTGAGTGCCGGAGGTAACTTAGTTGATGGCATCGCACTCTCTTGCCCGATCAGTGGACTGGAGATGTGGTGCGAATGAACGTTTCAAGTCACCTTCAATGCCCATCACATAGCACTTGGGTGCAGACATCTTCCAGCAAAATGTCCGCTTCCGATTTTGAAGGCATCGCCGATCCTGCACAAAGACCGGCTGCGGAAACACCATCGGAAACAAGGACGACCAACTCAGAAAAACACCAACATTCAAGAAAACAATGAGGCAAAACAGGAGAGACAAAGTCGAACAAACCATACCGCCAACTTTGCTACCGAAATTCTGAACTCAAAAACCCTTGACCCGAAAGCCTTAAACCCCCGCTTCGACAAGGCCTACACCCTGAACCCCAATGCTCTGAACCCGGCAAACCCTCAAGCCTGACTCGTAAACCCTCATCATGACGAAGATCACGTTTTTCTGAATCTATCTTGCCGTTTCCCGAATCGGTTTTTCTGAATCTGCCGGATGGTTGTCCGACTGAGCCTACCTGTTTGTGAATGTGTTTTCCGGGGTTGTCCAGGCTGTTTTCGGAACCATGGTACTCCGTCGGCTGAGGTGTCCTTCTGGTGGCTCATCTTGATTCCATGGCCGTGCAGCGACAGTCGGGACCCTCACTGCCAGTCAACCTGCTTATGTAATGCAACAGAAATCACTACAAAATCGCCCACAAGCATTGACAATTTTCCTGGCTTAATGCCCGGTCGAGTTCGCCGTCCTTTGCATATCTTCACGTGACTAGACCTGGCTCGCTATGTCTGTGAAACGGTTCTGTGAGCCGCAGGTCGTCGAAGCGCCAACATGCGAGGGGCTTCGCTTGGACTGAACCCTACGGCCGCTCCGTGGGCCCCTGTGGAAACGCAGGGGGCCCTGCGCTGTCACGGCTTGGAGCTCCAGGGCCACTTGCAACCATGCGGAAGTCGTCACGCTCCTGGTAAGCCTGACGTTGTAACTGCAGGCATCTGCGGACATGTAGCATCCAGGCTTTTGCTTTGAGCCTTGAAAGAATTTCCGACTAGAACGATGTCGGCCAAAGCATCAGGCCAAGGCCAAGCCTGAGGCAGAGGACAGACTCCGTGCCGAGCCACGAGCGCTACCCTCGTCCTTGGCCTCGTTCTCGGCAAGGACCATCTGAAGACCGAACACATCCACTGACTGAGCGTGTCGCGGACCGCAGGCCGGCCTCGTACAAGGCCCTGTCGCAATGCGGCATGAAGAGCAGCAGCGGCCTTCATGGACACCATCGCCTGCCCCTTCTGATCTGAATACGGAGCATACAGAGCCTCCCGCAGGGCCGGCTGGCAGAATCCTGTGCTCGCTGACTGCTGTTGCTGTGTCGCTTTGCTTCTCCACTTTCAAGCTTGGACACTTTCGGCCTCGGCCAGTGCAAAGCCGAACTCGGTCCCCAAGGCGCAGTCCACCGCCTGCCTCATGACAACCGCTGGGATCCGGCGCTAACAGCTGTTGCCTCTGGGCATCTCTGGGGATCTGGCATCTGTGGGTCCTCCCATGGCAGCTTCAGCTTGCAGGCAGCGAGCAGCGAGCGGCCGAGGTCCAGGCAGCCCAGTGTCGCTCTTGGATGTCGAAGACCTCTGCCAGAAGCCAGGCCAAGCTGAGCTGCCAGGCCTCGCCGTGATGCTTTGCAGGTGAACAAGGAGCCGAGGGCCGTCTTCGAACCCTGACCGCTGATGGTGAGGACTCCGGTGAGCCAATTCCCAGGCAGAGTAGCCTGCAGCCAGAATCCGCCACAATTGAACATTGCAACTCACTGCAACATGTTCCGCAACGACCAGCACCTGACTGCGGGGGCTGATGTTTCGCTGCCTGCGCTTCTACCGCACCCTGCGGAAGTCACACAATCCAACACTCTGCAAACACGGCGCCTGCAGCAAGCGAGTTTGATGGCGTTGCCTGTGTGGCCACACTGTCCACACAGCAAGTGCGAGCCCGAGCAGCCCGAGCAGCCGAGCACTGCCTGAAGACCTTCCTGCACGGCTCCAAGGACCGACGTCCAGTAGCTGGAGCACTTTAGCGACCTCAGACTGCAGAGGTATCCGCTGTCACAAGCCTACCATGCAACTCGCCCTGAATCTGAGCATCCAGACTGCGCTTGCTGTCGGACACAAGTAGCAAGCCCTTGGCCAGAGCAACACCGATTAGAAGAACTTTGCTAGAGAACAGTCTCTGGCCGGGAGCCTAGCGCTTCACCAGATTGGGATCAGCAGGGCCACTCTGCTGCACCTGTTCTGAACTCTGGTCCCAGCTGGCTCGCAAACTGGGCGCAACTTGGGCCTGCTGAGGCAACTCGTGAGGACGGCAACCTGGTGTGCTACCAGACCTGCTTGAAGCATCATATGTTGAGATTGGTACCCGGAGTGTGACGGAGTCGACCTTTGCGTGACTTCGCGACCTCCACGATATGCAGCCATCATGCGATATGCGATGCCAAAACTATACGAAGCAGAGCCTGCCACTCCCCAGCTGTGTCAGATGCCATCTGTCTCGGATTGGCACAGCATGAGACCCGCTGTCGTATACATGCATCCACCAGAGCCGTAAGTGTTCGGTTCTGGTGAATGTGCCTTGCGGCATCCTGGAAAACACGATGAGCTCTGTCCGTGATGCAAACGCACCAGAACCAACACGAACGCACGGACCTTTGACAAATAAAAGCTACCTAGCCGTCTTGAAGAGCCGAGCACGACTGGAAAACGGGCAGCTCGATACTGTGAGGTCAGAACGTCAAATCTTCAGCTTTTTCCGTCGGACTTCGACGCAGAGATCTGCTTCTTCAAAGCGATCACTTGCCGTAAGCTACTCCTGGCCACTAAACGGCCCTTGGCTGGGCCGTGAACCGAGAGAGATTTCTTCTAGGTCTCTCTCCTCCTCCTGCGCTGCGTCGGGTACGAGGTCCGGCAGGTTCGGGGCATCCGGCACCTCCGTTCGCTCCGACAGGGCTTGGAGAGCCGTCAGCTCCAGCTCCGACCTGCAAAGGACCCGGAGCGAGAGAGCACGTCGGCTCGGGCTCACTTTGAGGCCGCCACAGGTGTGCGGGCCTCGGCCGAGAGCGCTCCGGTGTCTGGCCAGGCACCTGGAAATTGTTGCTGTTTCTCTTGGTACTTATCGAAAGCTTTCGAAGCCCAGATGCGACGTCTCCCGGAGACATTTGCCGATTCTCTTCAAGCTCTCCTGGGCATGTGCTCAGAACGACGGAGCCGCACCGACTGCAATGCTGCGACAGCTACAAAATGAAGTCTCTTGAAATAAAACGCTCCATGGAAGCCTGGCGTCCGGGCGCAGCAGGACTTCCGACACTGTACGACATAGACTTGACCACATCTATGGCACTTGATGTTGATCGTGAGGGCAGTGGCAGTGAGATTCCTCGCGCCACATCTGGCTGAGGATCCGTGTGAAAGCGATCTCGCACCTCCTTTTCGTCTACCGGCTCCAGTGCCATTGAAGCGATTTCCCCAAGAGTCCGCCCGGTCAGATGGGCACTCTCCGGGATTGTTTCGCGCGCGGGGCTCCCTGTCGAAGAGGAAGGCGATGCATCGCTGCGGCTTTGGACAATGCCCAACCCTGCCTCACGTCTTTGGCGCGACAGTCGGTCACTAGGTGTGCACGGTACGGCAAACTCTTCTTGCTCGGCAATGGCACCACACAGGGCATCCTCGCCATCGAAAATACCGAAGAAATCATCATTGCGGTGAACCACCCCGATACCACAGGGCGAGTCGCAAGCATCAGCGATGTGGGCAAGTGCATCCGCGGCTGTCTCGTGAGCCTCTATACGAGCTGGCCGCTGCTTGCGCTTGCAGAGCGAGCCAATCGGCGTACAGGATTGGGTCGCCAAGAGCTCGGAAGTTCGCAGAATCCCCACGATTTCCTCCCAAGTCACCTCTACCGGCCATTCAACATGATCAATGTTCGGAAAAACGACGACGAAGTCCTGGGAGCCGGGAGCCGCATCTGTTGAGATATTGAATATTGACAACCGAACGCTACTCGTGCACGCAGCCAGGGTCCTTGTTTGAAGACACTGCATCAGCAGCCACAGAAATAGCAGGACTGTAGAAGTCAGCTGGCATCACCCTCCTGCTCCAGTTTTCTGGGGAAACCTCTGAAATATGCGCGGCTCGCGGCTCGCGGCTCTCCTTGCACATCGCTTCAAGGTGTAGAAGGCCGGACTATCAGCGACCTTATAGCATTTCCAGGCGCAAGCTTCCGTCAGGAGGTCGGCCGAGGACGAGGCCAAAGTATCTCCAAGCATGAGCACTGCCATGCATAAGTCAACCTGAACTCACAGCTCCTCAGACATGGCAAGACACGAACTACGCTGCATACTGGCCCTCTACGCCTCCAGGTCGTTCAGAACACTCGGTGGCTGCGGTGGGTCCTGCGCCAGCGGCCCCCTTCCCCTTCCGTTGCTCCAGTTTGGGTTGAGACCCGGCCTCCGAGGGCAGCAGCTGATTTTCGGCCGCGCTCCTCGATCCGCTGAGGCAACTTTGACCTCCACGGCTCCGGCGACAACGAAAGCGGCTGTTTTTGGGCACTCGGCTGCCCTGGCCTCCTGGGCTGCCCTCCGCACTGCCTGGAAGAGGCTGCCGATCTGATGTTTGTTTTCTGATGCTGTCGTTTTCTGGGCCTTCCCGCTCACGATAAGCTTCTCGTGCAGCTTGGTGCCCGCTTGGCGAATGCAAGCCTGCCGCCCGTCTCGCTAAGTGTTGCAAGTCTGGCCGCTGGGCCGCTGGGCCGCGCACGCAGGACAGAGCGGACCTCTGGTCGCGAGAAGCGCTCCTCGCGGTTGTGAACCAGGGCCTGCGAAGAGGCAAGGGCAAGGCTCTGGCTCTCACGTGGCTGGGGTCACGGCTTCAATCGCTTCCCACACCTCGTCCAGGATCCTGGCAATCGGCTTGGCGATGCAGTACATCGTCGTCAGCAAGATCTTGACCACAGGAATAAACCTGAGCCCACCATGTGCCCTTACAAGGATCGAAGGCACTTCACGGAAACGTTGCAAGCTTGTCAGCCTAAGGGGCCTGCGATGCAGACACGGTCAACTGCGCAGGGCCCGTGAAAACTGCCTAGCATGCAGCTTGAGTCCTAAAGTATCATGACGTCGCGAGTCCAAGCAATCCAAGCTGCGGATGGAAGGATCTCGCCGCAAATCAGCACAAAAGTGACCTTGTCAATTTAGAGGTGATTCTGCGCAGCCTTTGTGGTGCTGTGGTGCCAGGCAGACAGCAGCACCGCAAAAACGGGGCTGAGTAGATCGTCCAGGAAAATGGGTAGCGCCTGGCTTTAGAGGGAAGCCAAGGGCGACCCGAGCTCTAAGTCCATTCACAGCTCCTCATTCGCAAGTGCGTTGAGGAGAAGCAGGGTGACAAGGAGCAAGTGGTGGTCCTCAAGGAATGTCCTAGCTCTTGGGAGTGTACCGTGTCTTGGGCTATCTGGGAAGCCACTCTGCTCCAGGAGGCGTGGCCCGAATTCGAGCAGAGATGAGCAGAGCTCATATTTTTTGCTCCGCAGACATCGAAGCAAATCGCACAAGGTCCAAAGAGATGGATCGCGATAGACCTATCTTGCTCTGTACAGACAGGAGGTCACACTGAGTCACGCTCAGACGATGCGCTCTCCGTATTTCTCCACGGCTCTTTCATTCAGCGTAAGCCCGATGCCTGCAGGCAAAGATGCTGAACGAGGCTACATCACTCGCTTCGGCGCACTGCCTGCAGCGGAGCCTAGCTTGATCTTGCCGTTGCGTATCGCCGGGGCATCCTCAAGAACTGCGGGGCGAGGCATCTGCCAGTGACAGTCACACACTACTCTGCTCGTCCTGATAGAGCTCCGCTTGCAACGGATCTCGCTCAGGATCTGTGAAGGCCTTAACATCGGGCTGTCGGCTCTGAGGAAGGGTATTCTGAATACTTGCCGGCTGCTCTGAGACACAGGCCTCGACGATCAGCCCAGCTGGGGTAGAAGCCACCAGCTGCGCATGAATGAAGCAGTCATGGTGCGGAGCAACCTCGCAAAGATTCGAACATGCACACACAGAGACACATAGAGGGAGAGAGGCACACACGCGCAGGCACAGGCACACCCACTCACCCACCGCTCACTCGCTCGCTTACTCACCCACTCACTCACCCGCTCACTCACTCACTCAAACAATCGCACGGGAAAGGCTGGTTGAGACTGCCATCTCGAGACTCGAGGCTATCCACACCTGGACATGGTTCAACTCGCAGAGGGCCGCAAGCTTGCGCCCCTCTGTAAAGCCGCCGTACATCGTCGCATCGAACTGCAGAATCGAGATGGCCTCTTCGACAGCACTCTGTTGCTCCAGCTCCTCTGCTTCGTATAGTTATATATTAGCTGCAGGCATGACCTTCTCTTCCAGGAGCGCCCTGCAGCCATAGCTCGTGAATTCACCTGAAGGTCCCAAAAAGATCGCGCTCGTCGTCGGCCAACTGCGGAAAAAAAAAATCTGCCAAGGCTCTCTCACCCCCTGAGAGTGGGATGTTTGTCCGGCGCGACAGCAGCCCCAGCAGGCGCCGATCGTCTTCCCAGGCCACCTGAGACCGCGGAATGGGCCATGCCAGGGCCAGAACTGGCAGGACTCGACATCTCGTGACCTGGCCGAGAGGCAGGTTCCTCAAGCCAGCGCGGCTTGAAGGCCTCCGGTCCGGGACTTCAGGGCTTCGTCAAGGCTAGGAGTCGCTTGTCTCTGAGAGCCTCCAGCAGCTTCACGCCTTCACAAGCCGTCTTGAAATCCCAGGCGCGGTTGACATCAACCATGAGATCCTTCGCCGTCCAGGCTCTCCAGCACTACCCACTGAAATGAAATGGTGCTCGTCTTCGTCCTTATCGTAGCCAATCACTTCGCGGATGACACGCAGTCTTTCCATGTCTTCATGGAGAGGCAAACCACCAATCTTTACTTTGAAGCCTGTCAATGGCAAAATAACGAAGCAGTGGCGAGCAGAGAACTTAATGGCTTCACTCGGCGTCTCAGCTCTTCCTTGCTAAAGGGAGTACAGTAGCTTTATGTGTCCCCATGGCGCGTGGAGTCGCGACACCGCCTTGTCACGCGGGAAAACGTTAGGTCAGACCGGTGCGGGAAGTCACGCCGGAAGCATAGGCATAGTTGCAAATCGATTTCCCCATGTTCGCACGCTTCGTAGCACTTTGATGCACACATCTAAGTTAGGATTTCTGGAGCCACGTGCCGTAAAAGCCTTCAAGACTCTGCAAGTTCAGCAACTGAACACCACGTGCACGCACTTTCAGGCATGTAGCGAGCGCAGTCACGTAAGTCGAGATTCTGTATGATTTCACCGTTCAATTTTGTGCTCAGTGTGCCGCGTGGGCCTTGTTTCTTCAACTGGTATTGGTTCTGTTCAAAAGTCGACATGAATCCGTACATATCCCTACACTTTATGCTGTACGTTGAGTGTTATGTGCTTTGCTAGGGCTACGTCGCACTGCTGTGGACATGACACATGCGAGAGGTCTGCTCCACGTCCATGATTTTGGTGTTGATTTTTGTGTTCATGCTAGACATCAAGAATCCGTACATTTGATGCAATCCTAAACGGCAGCCCCGCAGTTGTTGCCACGCCTGTGTGACCCTGATCCACCATCATCTGAAGGTCGTCGCGGAGCTCGTGTTCATCTTTCCCTTCCCTGCAAGACGGAGCACCATCATCATGGTTGTATCAGTAGGTTCGAGCACGTCTTGCTGTGGATGCACTGCGCTTGGCCTGTAGTACCCGCATGTAGCATAACAGTGAACCTCGTCTTTGAATCCTCCAAATAGCCTCACAGCTTGCACAACAGAACAAGTACTGCAATGCAAACAGTCCAAGTTTATGCCAGGCTGCTTGTACAACGGAAGCCCAGCTGCCTTCCAGCAAGAAAGTGCTTGTTGCTGCCTCGCTATTTCAATTGCCAGGCCTTCCCAACGATATCCCAGCATGCCAAATCAACTGCAGCGCTTAGGCGAATCATCGCTTCTCGCGACCAGCCTTTCTCACTTGCAACCTGGCCGGTACAGGTCCAGCGAGCAAAGCAAGCAACATTCTTGCAGGAAAGCTGTGGAGCCTTGTCGGCAGTCAGCCGGAAGAGTTTGTGGTAGAGGCGCTCAGGTGCCAAGGCGTCTTCACCCACAATCAAATCTGCCAAACCATTCTTCCAAGGTTTGACGAGTGGGTCTATTGCCTCGAGACGATGCATCGCTGCTCGAACCAAAACCAGTTTCCACAGAGCCGGGACACTGTGTAGCTGCTTGCCAGACCGAAGCCCTCGAGTCCTTCCTGCGTTCGGAGGCGTACCAGCACCTGTGCATCGGGTAGTGTCCGGCGCTTCGCAGGCTGCAACTCCGAAAGAATACTGAACAGTGCACCCCCCCCCCGTTTGCCCAAGACGAGGCCAGTAGGATGCACACAGCTCGGATCAAAGCGTAAATCGTCGAAAGAAAGAATAGCCTTTAATCCTCAGCAGCAGCGGTGCTTGTTTGCCGCAGCTCAAGCTGCTTGGATGTAGCGCTTGGCAACGAGTCATGCGCACATTTCAGACTTTGTTGCTATGATGCAACATCTTGCAGCAAATCAACCAGTCAAAGCACCATCAAGACCGGTGGCCCTGCATTGCAGGTCCAGATAAGCACGGTGAGGGTAAGCTTCGATCATCAGAGATGGCGTGTCTGAACATAGCTTTCCACAAAACACTGCAACCGGCTGAAGAATCTTGCAGATTTCGGGCAATGCTCCCCCAAAACTGACCACTCCCTCAATTATGATTGTCTTTGTGAACTGAACGCCTTTCGTGCAGCTGTGCTCGGCAATCTGAAACAATATTTGGATCGGTACCTTTTCCGGGACAGAAACTGTTTCATCACCGGTCTTGCCCTGCCGTAAACGGGTTCAGGACTCGTGGAGGCCTTGGCCGATGCGTTTCAGCTGCAATTTGCTCGGCGGGGAGTAAGGGGCATTGAATTTTGCGGAACAGGTTTGTTGGCGGCTATGAATCCAGTTTTCCTTCAGCAACTGATAACCATGCCTACATGTAGCTATTGACGACCCTTTTCATGCATATCCGGCCCGGTGGGGGCCTCCCTTGAGCAAAGGTGGGGTTGAAGCGTTGTCAACTAGTCAACAGCCATAAACCAATAAGAGGACTCAACCAACTGCCTCATTGCCAGGCGGAACTGGGAAGGACGCAGTCCAGTGCGGCCGCGGCAACTTTGGCCCGCGCAATGCAAAGACCTGTACCGTCGAAGTGGACAGGGAGAACGGACCCAAACCCTGCAACCGAGCATCTTCAGCAAGGCTGCCTGCAAACTGGCGATTCGTCCCGCCATCAGCTCGGCAATGTGAGAGGTTTCAAAATTTCGTTGCAGGCCTACAAGTAGGTAGAACTGGTACTTCTGAGTTGCCAAGACTGCCAGTCTCTCAGAAGTTCTCTCTTGCTTCTAGATCCTTGCTGCAGGGCTTGCGTGGTCGAAGAGATTGCTTTTCTGCAGCTCGATCACTGCTTCTCTGCTAACACAAAGGAAACGACCGCTCGAGTCCTTCAGCAACGGCAGGATCCGCTTCGCGGCATCCTTTTGCTTCTGCAGTCGCTCCTTCTCCTCGGCAGAGTTGATTGAAACTGCGTCCACGACACGTCCACTGCGTGCATTTTGTCCTTCTCCGTCGTGCAGTCGTCTAGTCGGGCCGCCTGAATCGCATTTCGCACGCTGCAATAAGAGTGGGCAGTCCACATTAGGACTTCAGCAGGCAGCCTCAATGATTTGCAACTCTACTGGCCTTAGAGGTGGAAGCCGCATGTCAGGTCGCAGAAGCAGGAGACAGCAACGCTTGAGATAGGCTCTCTGCTCCAAGGAAACCAATCCCATGGTAAGTCCGGCAGCTAAGGCAGCCTGCAGGGAAGGAGGAATGCTATTCCTGTGAAGGAAATGTTGGCTGGGGCGGAGGCCGATACAATGCATGCAACTGATGCGCAGACCTCAGAGTCGCCCACACTACAGCGCGAGCTCCATAGAGCTCCCCGAGCTGAGGTTCCAGCATGGAAAACAAACGATATGCGTTCTCGCTCTGCCTCCCTTCTCTCCTGTTTGAAGCTGTTGCTGGAGACTTTGTAGAACCACATGCATCAACGATCACTTAGTTGTCGCTCCGACCCGAGCCCCAATCTGAGAGAGTGACGAAGGTTTCCGAAACTTAGCCCTGCTGGGGCATGCCTCGAGGGGGCTCAAGCATCGTGGCACTGTGCGCCAGCGCCCAAAGGAGGGACCTGAAGTGAGCTTTTGAGAGCTCGAGCCTGGAAGTCCAGTTTGTGTCCCAAGCTTGGGGCAACTGATTGTGGCAGCCTGCTCTGTGCCACCCCACCTGGGCTGATTGTCGCTCGCGATGAAGCGCGAAGCTCTCAACCACCGCAGACCCAACGCCGAGCAAGCAGATGAGTTTTGCGTACAGTCCCACCGATTTTTTGTTCCCGAAATGTCTCAGTCAAATTCTGCGCTCAAGTTTTGCGCAAGTTTTGCCTCTCACAATGCGGGGAGACTGTCTTTAGAAGCTTTTTTCTGAACTTTTCAAGCCTACCGTCAAGCTTGCCTGACAACTCTGACACTTTAGCATATTAGCAACCCGACATGTCCCGCCCCCATCTCATTCCCAAGATCCAAAAGATGAGACCATCCGTCACGGAGAGGCGAGGCAAAGCAATGCTGTGGGCTGAGGCTTCTTGACTCCGATGCCGTGGTGATGGTTAAGCGACTCGGCAAGTGGCTAGGACTAAGATTGGTCTGAGAAAGGCTCCACAGGAAAGCCTGGCAGAACACCCCTTGTCAAGACAACATGGGAATGAGAGCATGCATGGGGGCTTCAGGCTTCCGCTAGGGTGCCCGACATCTCCTTGCATGCACTTACAGGGTCTACTTTAAACACGTGGTTGGTTCCACATGCACGAGGCTTGTAAACAGGGCCATCTCACCGGCGAGTTCCCCAGACGAGTTTGTTTTTGACCACTCCAGTCAAGCTAGCAAACTGAGTGTTGGACTGTCGCTGATCCTGATCTGCATTTGAAGCACGGCCGTCGAAGCCAGATACAAGTACGGCAGGACTGTCTGAGTGCCCTTGAAAGCCTGAAGCCTGAAGCTCCTAGCTAATACTCAATCTTGAGAAGGCTCGGCCTCGCCAGCCAACCGTTGAGGCAAATTAAGCGGTGCAATTTCCAAAAGCCTCTGGTTCTTGATTCTTACATCAAAGTCGATCTGAATCGCCCGAGCGTCGAAGAAAGGATAGGGGAATCCTGAAAGATGTAAGCTACGTCTGCAGCAGTGAGCGGAATGGTAGAAAAGTTTGTGGAAGTCGCGTTTACAGCAGGGGCGGGGCCTCTGACTGGCAAGACATTTATTTGCTTGACAAGAAGCATCGGACGAAAGAACCAATGAAATGAAGAGACAGAGCCATAGAAACCAAACCAAAAACAATTAGAAATCTGCTGCACGTGAGGTTTCGGCGGACAGTCAGCCGGGGGGAAGCTGTACCGCGACACATAATCGTGTGCTAGCCGCGTCTGTGGGACCTTGCTACCCCGATGTGCATCATGGAAATATCGCCTCCCAGTGACCCAACCCCCCCTGAGGCCCAGCCCCCCCACCCCTCCTAAAAAGTGGATTTCGCGTTGGCATCGCCTGCGTCCAGAGATTCTGCTGGCGGCTTCCCGGGAGCAGCCCCCCACCCGCCCCGGCCCCCGCATCTATCTTTCCCCATCCCTTTCCTAGACTATTGCTTGCGGCCAGGCCAAGACGGGCTAGCTTGCATCGGCAACTCGAAGGTTGTGTCTTTTGCTTTGGTTGCGAAGCTTTATTCCCTCGTACATTTCGGTCATAACGTCTATGCGCTATTGCATGCAGGGAATGTGCTACCTTTCGCATGTGATTATTGCTCAGAGCCTCAGTGTTAACACAAATACTCACAATAAAAAATCTGAGGCAAATTCAGTCATTCACTCACGACCTCGCTTTCCGAAATCATGCACCTGCTTCAAGTACGCAGGGTGTGAGGAAGCGCTTAAAAATCAAACAAGCAATTTAGGCAATCGAACAAGCGTTACAAAAAGCTCCATGGGCTAGGGCGATTGCCCGCGGCCAGACGTTGTAAGTGCTCCCAGTTGAAATCACTTGAAAGGTTAATTTGACCTGCGCACGGAAGAGGAGTGCAAAGGCAGGGAACTCCCGGAGCGCTTGGGATACATTAGCAGGAGGGAAGCAAAGTCTTCGACTTCACCCAATCTGACGTTGCACCCCAAGCAAGACCACGGCGAACATAGGAAGATTTGGAACTCGAAGGTCGGAGCATCTGCAGGTGTGATGAGTACATCTGATCATCCAACCAGCACATGATTCTGGAATCTCATAGCGAAAGCATAAGGAGCAACAGTACAATTGCAACAGGAACGCCCAGGGCGTCTTGCATGGTAAGTTGTGCAAATGCGCCCACCAGCTGGACCCACTCACAACGGCAAGATACCAAGCTGTAGTCGGAGCAACTTACAGTTCGAGTTTCGAGAGTCCCAGCAACTTAAAATTTGCAGGCAACACGTCACCACGCCTTGCTCAATGCCTGGTGCAAGTGAGCACGGACAACGCTTCCACACAGCTCCAGCTCTGCCACCATCTCTCGTCAATTCGTCACTTCCTTCCACTCCTTACTGAAATCCCCTATGCAGTACAGCCTCAGGTACTCCTTTGGTTCCTGGCAGAATTTCAGATGAAACGTGGATGTTGCAGTTTACTATGATGTGAAAAAACTATATCAACACTGTGGCCTGTCTACTGCACATGTTCTCTTTCGGGCTTCAACTTTGCAGGAAGCGACCGGGACTCCGCCGACAGACCGGACGGATCGAGACTTGTCGACCGATTGAGTGAACATGCGGCCTCGAGAGCAACAGCCGCTGGGCCCCCAAAGCACAGCAAAGCAGAAAAGCCTCACAAAATACCAAAAACCAGGGCCCTCACACGAAGGCATCGTCATGACATTCCAAGGTATACTCCTTAAGCAGCAGCGGGGTCGCCACAAGAGCCAGCAAGCAACCAGGGCACGCACCCCAAGGTAGGCGTGACTGCCGTGCCAGATGCCGAACGGATCCTCAGTCGCTCGGAAGGCTCCGGATGCAGAGAAAGGAGAGAGAAGTCGCTTTGTCAGCTCCTGCAGCGGCCCACAGTCTGCAGCTACACACTTCTCCCCATCATCCATGTAGCCGCGTTCACAGCCTATGCGCCAAAAGCTAGTAAAGTCTCAACTAGCTTGGACGGCGATTGCAGCAAAGGCCACAGGGTTCTCTGACTCAGGATGCGACTGCATCGAAAGGAACTATTGCCGGTGTCGAAGGTGTTCTGGTATTCCTTCCTGAAAGAAAGACAGCTTTGCAAGGGGACTGTCTGATGTCCGCGTTCATGTAGGAACCAGGCAGATGCACGCACACTCCGTGCGAACCACAGTTACGACCACCACAGTCGGTGGTGCCCTGAAAATGACAAACGGCCTCGGCAGTGTAACACTCCGATGACTCTTACCTTTTTCCAACTCGATTCCGTCCGGGGCGAGGGCTTCGCCGTTGCTGGCCACGCTTCGCTGGGCACCGCGCTCGCACATGCACTCGACCCCTTGCTTGAATCTTCGATTCCAGAACAAAGCTATAGATTTTGCTGTGAAAAACTACAAAGAAATATAGTACTCAGGTCAATTCCGTCTTGGAGATCATGGCACAAACCTGCAGGCCCGCACCTCAGCAAAATGAGGAGCCTATTTGCTTTCTGGCTGTCACCCTACTCGATCACACTGCGACTCTCGCAAAGGATGCTAAGTCGCCGTCTTATACAGCAGCTTTTCGCAGTCGTCCACGGCCTCACACCTCAATCTCCATGCTTGCTCTGCTTGCTTGCCTTTCAGCGCACAGCGCATGTCTTCGAGCAAAGTATGCGGCCAGGGCTTGGCTGGCCACTCGGCATGTCGGGAGCAAGTCATGTTGACCTGCATGGAGGCGAGCTCCGTACGGAACGTTATACCGTATTGCCCAACACCATGACCACAATCTTTGAGACGATTTGGCTAAACAGGTGCATGCCAGTCTTGATTGTTGAACTGTTCTCTCAGACAGCGATACCCAAAGCCTGCGAGAGGCCATCAACCTGATAACCTCGACTGCAGGTCAAAACCTCGGTGCCAATAGCAAAGACAAGCCCGAAATTTCTTGCAGGCCCCTGACACTGAGAAGGATGCATAAAGACCACCAGGCTCTACGGAACCAGTCCATTCTCCATGCTCATCCTTAACGGAGCACAGACTTGCTGGTTACACGACACACTTGAAACGGCGACATGGATTTGGATGGCTCGGGTTGGAGCTTTGAGCACTTCACAAAGCCTTGCCGGCCTTGCCTGATCATGAGCAGCCGTCGCTGTGCAAACAAGAGACATGTCCGACTGCTTCTATTGGAGCTTTGATCATCAGCTCCAAATTGGAGAGCTAAAGCGCTTGTGCTGGCCAGACCGTGGAAGCTGCAAGACCGGAATCTATACTGAGATCGAAATCAAACTACTAGCAACTGTTCCCCACTCGGAACTGCTGAAAGATCCCAGCGCTCAGAGTGCCAGCCCATGTCCCTGAAACGTCCCAGTAGACTTCGCGTGGCTCAGTACACCCAAGGTTTAGGTGGACGCAGCATGCATACGGACATACATGCATGCATGCATCCATCCATCCATCCACCCATCCCATCCCATCCCATCCATGCATCTGCCTGCAGTTCCATGCATGCAGACACACATACTTGCACGCCTACATGTCTGCATGAGTTCGACAACTGTGCAATTGGGTATGCATGCCTACAGATACATCGTCGCATCATGCTGACAGGAGAAAGGACAACTAGCCTTCGAGCCAGCTTTCTGCTCGGTCGAGGAGTTGCGGGCTGTAGGCTCTGTCAGGTTCCCGACCTCCGTCTTTACAACAAGCAGGAGCGCCACGGTCTTCTGCATCCATGCCGTGCCTGCGCCACGGCTGAGCTTGAACCTGGCTGGGAGCTTCTGAGCTCAGAGATTTCAGCCGGAGAGTCAGATGCAGAGGCCTGAAGGTCCCACAGCCTGGACAGAAGCGGACGCTATGGAAGCGCTACGGAAACGTAATGGCTCTCCTGGCCTGGATCTCCTGGAGCAAGGCTGCAAGCACAAGGCTCCTTTTCCTTGGTCGAGTTGCAGGCCACCTACAGAGAGTACATCTCGACGGCTCCTGTGAGCATATCCTGTATTTAGCAGGTCTTTCTGCTGGCTCCCTCAAGAAATTCAGAAAACCTTGGTGCACTGCATCACCAGAATCCACCCATGGGTCGAAGAAATGGCCCGGAAGATTCCAAGAGCTAAGCTAAGAATGTCCGAGTCCGCTTGCAAGCAACTGTAGTGCCTGCTGGTGTATGCTCCCGCTGGGAGAAGGAAGTCACAGGGCATGGCATGGCATGGCATGGCACGAAACAAATGCGATCTATCCTCGCTTGCCTCAGAGCATCAACAGCTCGAAGCGACTGTGTCGCCTTATCATGCCGCGACCATGGTTGATGCAAATATCTAACTTCAAGTTATACCTTTATAACACGACAGCCATGAACTTTCTTGCGCAGGATGACTCGGGCAGCAAGCTCATGGTACGTTCAGCTCGCTGGAAAAGGGTGACTGAGCGACAGCTGTGAGACCAGAAGCTCAAAGCTGTTCCATGAAGATCTTTCCGGCGCAAACTGCCCGACCTTCGTAGCACGTCGCAGCACGATGCCAGTATTCACAGTTTGGGCCTCAACTTATTTGTGTCACTTCCGTACTCCGAGTTCTGACAATCGCCGAACCTGTGAGACAAGCCTTCGCTTCGCATCTAGGGCCACTTGATTGGCTCGTTCGGAGACCGTATCACACAATGCGGCTTTGGGCCGTGAGTGCTCCAAAACTCCTTAGCTGCATGAAACCGTTCAGGGCATGTTGCCGTCGAGGGACGTGACAACAAAAAGTCCATGTGCGCACAAATACTGTTTGACCTGCTAGCCCAGAGTGTTATGTTTTCCACGCTGGGAAGCCTGCGGTAACTTCGGCGCATGCTTGCTACGCAGCACGGCGGGGCACCACTTCTCGAATGCTGGAAGCGACACTTGCTGTGGCTCTGCCGAACAGTACGGGCGAGCTCCTTGCATGTGCATTGAGAAAGCATCACATGAGGCAACATGTGCTGCTACCGGAACCGAAATGTTACTTTGGGTCCTGGCTTTGCCAGATATTGCTGGTGGTACTCTTCTGCATAGAAGAAAACCTCGCCCTCGAAATCGGAGGCTGCTCGAATTTCCGTTGTAATTGGTCCACGTCCCTTTCCATTGACTTTCAGCTCAGCTTCATATGCTTCTTTACTGGCTTCGTACAGCTGCCTCTGCTCATCATCAAAATAATACAAGGCACTACGATATTGTGTGCCACGGTCGTTCCCTTGACCCATTCCTTGTGTGGGATCATGGGCTTCCCAAAACCAGCGCAAAATATCCACCAGACTTATCTTCGAAGGGTCAAAAACCACCTGCACTGCTTCAGTCTGTCCAGTTTGTCCTGAACATGCTTCTTCGTAAGTCGGGTTTGGGGTATAGCCACCAGCATAACCAACAGCTGTGGAGTAAATGCCACCGCCGGGCAAGCGCCAGATTCCCTTCTCACTGCCCCAGAAGCAGCCGTTTGCAAAGACACAGACTTTAAATCCAGCAGGCCATGGACCCTTCATCGGATTGTTCAGCACGTAATGCTGAGCTGGCACGACCTGCGCTTCACTTCGGCCAGGGAGCGCGCGCTCTTTGCTGACCATCTCGGCCTTCTTCTTGTTGGCCGCCATTTGCTGCACTCGAAACAGAGCCTGGAACACAAGTGTCTTTGACGTGACAGCGCTCGCAAGCTGCTGTTGGACGTTGGATGTTGAACTGGTTTCGAATTAACAGGAGGGTCGCCTACGGATGCCATGTGTAAGTTCGCTGCCTTGCAGCTCAAATCTGAATAATGCTCCCAGAGACCCGTGAACAAAACTAATTACATTTTGACATGGGCCACAGGCATGCCCTGAGGCCGGCATCCTGCCTGCATAACTTCCTGCGGATTCGATTCGTCAATCTGCATCCCAGCAGACTTCAGCTGCTGCACGAGCTCTCGAACTTCCGGAGGGAAGTCCATGGCGCACAACAGAGAACTGGCGCCCGCACCTAGTAGCTTGGACGCGTCACCCCTGCATGCAAACTGGTAGTCTCACGAGAGCAGCGACCTCTGCATGTCAGTTTCGTGACCTTTGCATTGCTTGGACACCGGGCAAGGTGCTGGGCAGGGGTGCGAAGCATGCAATGAACCTTCACTCGGCCAAACGCGTCAATTAGATCGATTTTCAACACTAGTTTCGTCTCCATCGCATGGCCGCCGCCGCTTTCTGCAATACCATCGCAACCTGCTCAGGGACGCATATCTCTTACCGAAAGAAACCCAGTTGAGAAACATAATGAACAAATCAATGGGACGACGGCACGACAGCTGACAGCTGCAACTGAGCTAGAACAACCGTGCCTCTCTGAGAACCCAGTGACTGCCATAAAATGGCAGGAATGAATAGATTTGCTTTGCAGCGCCTATTGCACGGATGGCAGAAGAGGGTGCACAACTGTCTTCGAAGGTCGCATGGCCTGGTGCAGGCTGGTGGAACCACGCACAGGCCTCGCAACGCAAACCAAACGGGAGACAGCTTCACACGGGTGGCTTCACACACTCCTGCATTTGGTGCGGGCCTGGCAGCGCGATCAAAAGCCTCTATGAGGGAGCCCGCCAATTGAACGCCTACTGTTTTGGGAATAACAAGAGGACGAAGCGTTGAAAGTCAGCATGAAGGAGAAACGCTCGGCCTTGTTCTATTGCTTTGTTGCCACCTCCGAAAACCCTGCCAAGTCCCAGATCTCGCCTCAGGCACAACAAACCAGGAGTTGGAGAAAACGAGGCAGCAAGTTCAACCCAAACAAACTTGCGAATGCCTGTCGAGATTCTCTTTTCGAAAAGCTCGCCGAGCATCCCCAAGGAATAAGATCGATCCACCCAGAATCAAATCCCGAAGCCGATGAGGTCCTGCACCGAATGTCCAAGAACCGGAGATCTGCTCACGCCAGAACTGTCAACGACTCAGAGACATGAAACCCTCGCATCCCCCTCCTACCTTGTTCGCAGGCTGCTTCGCACTCACTCCGAACATTTGATCGAAGACCATCCGCAGCTACGACAGCATCAAATGGACCCTGCAAGCGCCGCACAACAAGTGGGAATCGAGCACTACCGAGTGCCAACAACCAATTCTAGTCGATCAGCTTCAGAAGTGCCCTGACACGCTCATGACTCGAGTGGACCCGGCCTCCAACTGTAAATTTCCAGCATCCATGCTTTGAAAGCGGCAAAAGAGCTGGTCGCCATCGACATGAAACCCTGCTCAAAGGGATCGAGCAGGAAAACTGAACTTTGATGCACTACCTTCAGACTGGCCGCCACTGGCCTCGGAAAGACTTGCCAAAATGAATCGCGTCTGCTGGCAACAGACTGACAAACCATTTCAATAGATCTTCGCGACGTATGCAATCGGTCTCCTGCCATGTCACTTCATGTCATTGAACCACAAACGCAATCATTCGACTATTCGGAGCCTGCCGGAACATTGCGCCAACCAAAGGACACTCCAAAGCATGGAGTGCCTTGCAGGCAACAAACTGCAGTGCACTAAGCAAGACAGACATCGAAAGGCCTTCAGGCCAACTCGTGCCAAGGGCAACGACCGGAGAGCACCAGGGTCCTTCGAGGATTGTTGCGCCCTACCTCCAGGCCTCGAAGCAACATGCATGCCAGATTGAAAGTACCCTGACCAGTCCAGTACCAAAGATTGCTCGAAGACGACGACCCTTGCAAGCCGAACTGGACTCTCAACAGAACCGACTGTCATACAGCAGACATGACATTAAACCTACCTGCACTGTGCAGCTCAATTGCTTGCACAAAGCAAATGTGTGGTCGCGCGAGGATTCCTTTCATCAACCGGCCAGGAGGGGTCACAAATGTCTTGTACCTTACTTTGCACGATTCAATTGAGCCTGCGACCTGCATCAGCGCCGCCGCAAATGACAGCCCGGCTAACCCGGCGCCCACCACCGCCACCACATATCCCGGCTGCTCCATCGCGAAATACGAAGGAATGATACCAAGTGCCACTCGCTTACTTCTTGTCGCACGCACGCCGTGACTGTTCAACATGGAACGGTGCGATGCCAAGTAGCTTTGTACTTCGTAGATCACACAAACTGGTTGCAATTTTGGCACACGAAGACAAAAAACTGGAGCTGGCATGGTCGTCGCTCGGAACATCAAAGCAGCCAGCTCAGAAACTCCGACCCAAAAAAAAGAACATCATCTTGGAGCTTTCGGACGAGACCTGCTCTTGGACACAAGCGGACGCTCAGCTCGCAAATGATGCAGGTACGGGCAGGTCGTCACAACCGCGTAGCGGACCATCCTGGAGCAACCTGTTTACACGTGTGGACTGCATTCTTTTTGCGCATTGGAAGGCACGACATCCAAACACTTCAAACGAAACATGATTTACATTTTTGATTAGGTTCTGGGAAGATGAAAGCTCACTGAGTAGCCTCTGCAAGGTTTGGAAGCCCAAGCCTTGAAAAAAATCCAAGCTGAAAATGTTCCAAACTTTTCGACGCCGTACGCGTCTCTCAAAAGGCCTTCCTCCATTTCACGTACATCAGCACGCTGGCAACCCAAAACAGCCTGCGCCCCAAACACCACCAGCTGCAGGGTGTGGCTCTTTCTCAGTGGCGCAGGCCTTGGCTTTTCTGTCCTGTGCAAAAAAGGCTGTGGGGTCGCCAAAGGTCAGTATTACGCCTTCCAGCAGGTGGCACCAGACGGCGCTGGCATCGAGCGCTTCGCTTCGCAGCTTGCGGAAACTTCGGAGATCTTGCCGCAAGCATTGTCTACGGATCGTACAGAGTGCGCAAGTTCTTGCTACAGTTAGAAGACGGTCACTTCGACGCGTAGGAGCAGCGGCGCCGCCAAGCCGCAGGTTTTCAGAATCGACACGGAATTCGAGAGCGATCCCAGGTCCAGCTCCAGCAGCGGTCCAGACGGCCCACGCGGTGCTTTCGGGCTGGTGATCTCGGGCAGCAAGCGTCAGCAGGCAGTCCCGGGGCGATCGGAGGCCCCTAGGTACTCAGCCGTCTTTGATCTGCTTCGTCAGGCGAGCGAACCGGAACTTGCATAGAGGCAGTAAAGAACCATGGAGAAGTCACCCAAGCCGCAAGACGAACTCGTGAAGTCTTTGGACAACCCCAAACTCAACTACGTCCATGCGCAAAGCTGGCTGCGACACAGGCTTTCCAACGGATCTTTCT